TTCTAATTCACTAACATTACTAATGTTTGCCTTCAGTGTGTAGTGTATGTGAAGCACCAAAAGGTCATATCAATTTGCCACTTTTTGGTGCTTCGCACAACTTACTATATCATCTGATTTTTTTGCTTTGTGACTTTACAAGATGGTGGCTATGTTGCAAATAAGTAGCTCTCAACTCACAGCATCGCTAGTGCTTACATCTTCAAAATTCCAAATGGGCCAACCAGCCAGAAGTCTCTTACCCAAACTATGCCGGATTCAAACCAGTGAGGGCAAAAACAAACCAGATTCCCCCCTTCTTCTCTTCTTGTTACCTGTCCATTTGCTGAGAATTTTTATACAGGGTCTCCAGGGCTGCAGAATTCCCATATTCTCACCATTCCTGACTTGTCTCTGGAATGCTCACTGTGGTATTTCTGGAGCATCCTGTTGTGGTCCGCCAGCAGCCTGCGGAGCTGGCAGTGGAGTCGGACAGCAATGAGGCTGAGGAAGACATGGGCCAGTTCTGGAGGCTGGGGAAGGCCCGGATGAGGGCTCTGTGTCGGAGGCAGAGATGGGGCCAGGGCCATCGGGGAGTGATGTGCAGACTTTGGAGCCTCCAGAGGCTGACAGTAGAGAGGCAGAGGAACAGGAGGAGCCTGTTCCTAGTGCACGTATGAGAAGATCTGCTAGAAGGCAGGAGCAGCTAAAGCAGAGAGGACGACTCGGGAGTAGGGCACTGGTGGGTTGCCCCGGTTCTATAGAACCGGTAATAAAACCGTCAGGAGGCTCCGCCCACTGACCCTGATGTCATCAAAATGCTTCTGCACATGCGCGTGGCCCCATTACGAACCGGTAGTAAAGGTAAGTAGAACCCACCCCTGGAGTAGTGCCAAGAGATGATTGGCCCCTCCCATAAGGCTTAAAAGACCAACAATGGCTCTTGGCCTCTTTGCCGGAAAACAACCGTTGAGAGAATTGCTTCTTGTTTGGCTGTACTTATTTCTTCTGTTCCTGAACTGTTGCCAAGAAAAGCCTTTGGCAGTTTGCCTAATTATCCCAAGGTCAGAGATAAACTAAAGACTGGTGTTTTAAGGACTTTGCTTTCATTTCATTTAGAATACGCTGAAAATGAGTTAATTCTCAGCTGTTTTAATAAAATCTCTTTGTTTTTTGGAACTGTTTGCATTTAATATCAACTACGTGGGTCTGGGTCACAACACATCCATGGTCACAAAGCCGACTGCCTGTTAAGTTGTTTCTATATTGGTATGATATGATAGACAAGTCACTATCCTGGTTTACATCACTAGAACGATGTAGGAAGTACAAAGAATAGCAGTAGCACCATTAAAGAAATTATGAACCTGAAATTCTCTAAAGAAAAGTTGCCCTGGAAAGAAGGCTACTATACAGAGATCCTGGTTTTCTTGTTATTACTAGAGAAAGCAGTACTGTAGATAATAACTGCCAGATAGACTTGTGCCTACTTGTTAGCATATTTGTTTTTACAAGGGTAGAGCTGAGCTATACTTCTGTTTAAAACTATTGACAAATGGCTAAATCCATATACATCAAAATTTCTCCTCTTTCTCCCAGCCCACACTAAGGGAAGTGATTGGAAGACTACGTGACCTTGGGACAGTGGAACTGTCATAAATTCATGCTAGTTATCAAGCATCCAAATGTTGATCATGGGATGCTGCAATGGTCATAAGTGTGAAAAACAGTCATAAGTCACTTTTTTCACTGCTGTTGTTACTTCGAATGGTCACTAAATGAATGGTTGTAAGTTGAGGACTACCTGTATATTAAATTGTATTCAAGTAAGAAATATTTGAAGAGAATTTATGAAAATCTTTGCCCTTAATACTATGTCTACAATATGTAAATTATAAAAAGGTTTAACTTGTCATCCAGAGGTTATATGGATTTCTGCAAATGTGATCTAACCATCATTGTCAATTTCATGCAAATGATTTTCAGAGTGTATATAATACAGTATAAGTCATATCAGCTGTAGGCATCTTTATGTATGTTATTGAATATGTTCATGATAAAATCAAGCTCTCTTAATTCATTCCAGATATATTGCATTTCTTGCTAACATAATTTTGGGAAATTTAATTCAATATATCTGGGGATACATCTGGTTGAAAAAGACTATATGGTAATACAATATTAGTCCCTTAATTTTTAATGATGTGACCTCAAGCAAGCTTAGGATCCAATAAAACCTTGGGGAAAAAGTAGTACTCCACAGATTCAAAGAAATTAAGAACTATTTAATTCTTTGTATAATATAGTAGATAAGTTAACATCACTGTTTGAATTAAAGCTTAGGATGACTTTTCCAGCTGATTGTTTAGAACATTCCACAAATGCTCTTCTCTTTTTGCCTTGGAGTTCTGATGGAATTTATACTGTGAGGAATGCAATGGCATTCTTCAAACTATTAATGATGCTTTTAAAGGCAACAGGGCAATTTAAGTAGCATAGCAGGTGTGAGGCAGTTAATTCTTGATTTGGAGATCTCTCTCTCTCTCTCCCTGTGTGTGTGTGTGTGTGTGTGTAGAATAAGTTCTTTCAAATTGTATATTTTTAATTGGAATCAGAGCTATAATTGCAGTAATCCCCTCATTCCACCAAATTAAAATAACATCTGACTTCAGAAATTATATCATCATATCTTGTGCTTTCCCAAAACAATTGAGAATGGATCACTCTCTCCAAAATTAGTTCAAATGCACTTATGCCAGCCATAATGTATATTTATCTTCTCTGCCAATTCATTCATCAGATGATGAAATTCTGAATGCATGATTCAGGCCACATGAATGAAAGTGATCGTGTTGCTCTTTATTTGTGTGCCATTTTTAAGAGGGAAAGTCATAGTTCAAATAAGATGTAAACAAATGCATAACATTCACTTATCTTCATTTACAGATAGTCCTCGACATATTACTACAGTTGAGCCCAAAATTTCTGTTGCTAAGTGAGACAGCTGTTAAATGAGTTTTGCCCCATTTTACGACCTTTCTTGCCACAGTTGTTAAGTGAATCACTATAGCTGTTAAGTTAGTAACATGGCTGTTAAGTGATTCTGGCTTCCCCATTGACTTTACTTGTCAGAAGGTGGCAAAAGGTGATCGCATGATCCCAAGGCAACCTCATAAATATGAGTCAGTTGCCAAATGTCTGAATTTTGATCACATGACCATGTGGAGGCCGCAATGGTCCTAAGTGTGAAAAATGGACACTTTTTCCAGTGCCATTGTAACTTTGAATGGTCACTAAACAAACTGATGTTAAATCACGGACTACCTGTATTTGTTTATTACTGTCACATATATGCTGCCCCATCACACAGATTCTAGATGGCTTACAATATATATAATTCAGAGAATCCATATAAACCAAATTCCCCAGTAAAACTACTACTAACTTATAGCTTGAAACATCCAATAAAATTTCAGTATAAAACTAAACTCAGAACAGTTTCCCAGTATCACTATTAGTGCTCAAGCACGTGTTGGTCATGTGACTGAGTGGCCGTGGGAGTGAGTGATGTCAAGTTGGCCACGCCCACCCAGTCACATGCCCCCACCTAGCCACACCCACCAAACTGGTAGCGAAAATTTTTGAAACTCACCACTGTAGAGAAGTAGTCTGTCAGTTAATCTAGGATACAAATATAAGAGACTTCCACATATTGCTCTGAGTGATAGTCTAAACGTCAAGAGCAGAGCAGGGATAGAGAAACACAGGGCTGATGCTGGAGAGCTGTTTCCAACAAAGTGCAAGACTGTGGCAGCGACTTCAAAGTAGCCCTAGCTGTGGGTGTAACTCAGCTGTTGTCTAGCTTCTCAACTAGTCAAGTAGATTGCCTTTGCAATCTACTTGACTAGTTGTTAGACTTGACTTAGTTGAAAGACTTGACTGTCTGTCAAAGTTGTTAGTTTGTCGTGGGATTTAGATGACTCGCCATGATCTGGCCCTTCATAATCTGACTCTGTGGTCATCTGCTCTGCATATGGTCTCTCTTTTCTGCTTCAGAGGATTGATCGCCTGCCAACTCTAAAGTTGACAGCTCACCCGAAATTAATGGTGACTTCCCCCGATAAATATTAAATAGCATGGGGGAGAAAGCCATACTTGTGAAAACTCTCACCAAAATAACCATGGGCTGATTCTTCTCCTTCATAACCATTTGCCATAACTATCCAGGTAGGAAGGAGCAGAATTATCATAAAACAGTGCCTCTAACTTTCCTAGGCAATATAGAAGGGTACCATGGTTAACAGTACTGAACACAGTAAAAAAATCTAGTGGACTAGGAAATGTGTAAATTCTTCACTTGGGTCCCAATGTAGGGATCATCAGTGTGAATAGTATGGTTTTGGATCCATCCTCAAGGTTGAACCAGACTGGAAGGCAAGATAATTCACACATATCAGAGCTATTGATTAGGAAACTGTAATTACTGCATTGGCTGAAAACCAAGGAATGAGCAGTGTTGCTCTTGTTTTTCTTTGGATTAAACGTACTTTAGAAATGCATACTTGTTCTGTAATATGCTACCACTAATTCTAGTGTGTGCAGCAAGGATTCTGAGCCTTCTAGGGTGCATTAATGTTCATAATATGTATTCATTTATTTACATAGACATTATTGTAAGAGAGTTGAAAGAAAGCAGCTTAAACTTAAATGTTTTTTGTGGACCTTTACTCATTTGCACCTAGTATCATTACCTTCGTATTATTTCTAATCCATGAATGAGAGGACCTTACCCTTAAATGTGCCAGCATTAAAGTAGTATTTTCCCTATTAAACTGGCATTGTCCAATGTCAAGGTTAAGCCCAAAAATGGCAAACACCAATTCAATCAGAGTTCAGTTCTGGTTGTTTAAATTCTTGTGCTTTAGATTTTTTAATAGATTTTTTTTCTAATTAGCCATTTTTATTCTGGTTTGAAATAGTTTATTCACACACATTTAACATAAACCATTAGGACAAGCACATCAATTTCTTTAAAATAAATTTATTTAAATACTGTTTCACACTGTAGGATATCAACTATTGTATTATTATTTGCATCAAGATTGTTTTTGCAAACGACTTCTCAGCTGTAATTTAAGAACAAGCATATTTCAGGCAACAGGCACTTCATTGAATTCATTATAAAAGTATACAGGTCTTTTTTAAATGACAAGGCACACAACTTCTTCAGTATATCTGGAAACTCTGAGAGTTATTGTCCCAATGTAAGTAGTCCTCAATTTACAACCATTTGTTTGGTGATCGTTTGAAGTTACAACAGCACTGAAAAAAGTGACCTATGACCATTTTTCACACTTATGACCACTTATGACCATTGCAGCATCCCATGGTCATGTGATCAAAATTTGGATGTTTTTGGATGTATTTATGAAAGTTGCAGTATCTCGGGATCTTGTGATCACCTTTCGCCACCACCTGACAGACAACATCAATGAGGAAGCCAGATTCATTTAACAACCACGTTAGTAACTTAACAACTTCAGTGATTCGCTGTAGCAAAAAGTCATAAGTGGGGCAAAACTCACTTAACAACTGTCTTAGCAATGGAATTTTGGGCTGAATTGTGGTCGTAAATCGAGGATTACCTCTACATTTAGAGGAAACCTAAATTAAACCTAAATAGGTTGGGAAAATCTGCCTTCATGTTTGTACCACACATAACAATCATTTGCCTGAATTAGTATACTTTGATCTAAAAGGCAAACATATCTTGCAGGTAGCCATAGTTTCCACAGGCATTTAGGTCTCCTCAGATTCTTTCTTCTTGAAGGACTGCGGATTGAGAAGGACAGTCTGGAAGTAATTGTTTTGAAAACATAGCCTTTCTGTTGCAGTTGTCAATTACAATGTCAACGTATTTTTCAAAAGGCTCCCAACAAGAATACCCCAATACTCCCCACCCAGCACATGCATGCAGAAATTCTCCTTTGTCTGGAGGAATGTTGAAATTAAAATATCTTCATGATGGTTTAGTTTTTCTTCCCTCCCACTGTGGAATAGCTGACAATACCTATCAGATTTATTAAAAAGGTATTATGTTTCTCTTCAACAAAAATTTATCTTAGGATGGACAGATGCTTTTTTTCTGGCATTTGGACTGTCATTCCATTTCTGCTAAAGTTTAAATTACTCAGGAGTCCTTCCAACAAATAAGGGCTCAAAATCTATTTCTGAATTTGTAGAATTAGGTCTAACAGAACTGGATGTTACAATAAACCTGTCTGTGAGCTAGAATACTGAAGATGTTCCATCTATGGCCCATCAGACCACGTTACATGTTTTTTTCAAACCATCCAATTTTTCCCCATGGATCCACCTCAAGTTCATACTTTGTGTGACACTGTTGGCTTTGTAATGGTTCCGAACTCTCTGATTTTTTTGAGTCATTTAAGATTCTTGTAGCATCAGAGCTGAGCATTAGTGAGCTGAGACAAAGCGGATACGCTGTGAGTATGCTAAATCCACCATGTAGAGTACTAGGTTCACATAGGTGAATACCGTAATGACCACTTGGTTGTCCCATGAACACATGGCTCGGGAACACTGGTAGGGACGTTGTGGAGAGCCATATTTATGATCAAAGCAGAAAACCGGCCATATCACTGCAGCGCTCACATACATCAGGATAGCCACGAAAGTGTAAACGACCACAAAGCGTTCAAAGGGGCATTTCAGCATTGCTGTCTTTCCTGTGACGTTGAGAGCCACCACAACCACAGTCACCACAAAGCAGAAGCAGTAAACAGCCACACACCACTGGGTAGCTGCATACTTATTGTATTGGCTGTCCTTCGCCAGAGCGCCAAAGATTATACAAGCTACAAAGGATTGGATAATTTTCAAGAGGCCTGTAACTGTGGCCATGTAACTTGTCACCTGGCCTGGCTTGGCCCTAGTTAAAAACACTTCTGCGGCATATGCCCAAAACAGAAGCCCTGCAAAAACACTACTGGCAATGCGGAAGTTTCTCACCTCGCAACTATTGGAATCGCAGTCAAACTGGACGTAGACTGGATAAATCACAGCGGCGGTGATGGACATGAGGGTGGCGAGCATGGCAAAGGCAGCTGTGAAATTCCCCCAGGAGATGCTTAGGTAGCTATGGAGGTGAGTAAACTCACAGGTGAGGATGAAGACGGTGACGGCAAAGCAAAAGCACCAGATCGATATACAGAAAGAGCCATAGGCCGCGCTGAATCCCGCTCGGTGGGCCACAAGGCTGAATGTAGTACATCCAAACATGGCCTGCAAGAGTCGAACAGCTCCCACCCAAGAGGCCACTGCATCCACGTTGAGGTATGTCTTACTTGATCTCTCCATTGCTGGATCGGAAGTCCTAGATTCCCTTCGGTAGTTGGATCTCGTTTCCCTTGTCCTTGTCCTATCAGAAGCTCAGGGGCTAAGTAGGAAGTGCCACGAGAAAAAGCTCTGTATCCCCTCTGCCCAAATCTTTGCTGGCTGTTATTTATGCGGCAGGCATAGTATGTGTTTCTGACAGCTTTTTGAGACGGACTTGCCTCTGCAGTAAAAGTATTGACCTGTCTTTGTCTGTGCTGCAGTTACGATCCATCAAACCTGCCCTGCTGAGTTCTGCACATCAAGCACTCCGGATGCACTACTCTTACTTTTCTTCTCTGTCTCGACTGATCACTTTTTCCCAAGTGACTCACAGGAGGTTTGTTTCAGTTGCACAGCTGCAGGTCTCAACTTTGTGCTGTAAAGGGCCAGCATATAAATAGAAGACTATATTAATAGATTTATCCAGAATGGAATGAATCGCATGGGGTGTGTAGGAATGAGAAGCTGGTTTTAGTTACGTCCAGGATAGCTTCATGTATCACCCCTTTCATCTTCGGGGCAGAAATAAACTAAAACAATTTGAATGGCAAAAGGCAAGTAATCCAACAGCAAACAAGGATGGGAAGGACATATAATGCAAAAATACAGATACATTGTATACTTGCATTAGAGGTATACTGCTTATACTTTTCGGTCAAAATGTTGAACTCATGGCATATTACAAATGGCCCTTGACTTACAGCCGTTTGTTTAGTGACTATTCAAAGTTACACCAGCATTGAAAAAAGCGACTTACAGTGATGGATCCTGTTGCAGCATCCTCATAGTCATGTGATCAAAATTTAGACTCTTGGCAACTGGAATGTATGACAGCTGCAGCGTCCTAGGATCACAAGATCACTATTTACAACTTCAGCCAGCTTTCGATAAGTAAAAGTCAATGGGGGAAGTCAGATTCACTTAACAACCATGTGATTTGCTTACTGAGTGCAGTGATTCACTTAATAACTGTGGCAAAAAGATTGTAAAATTGGGCACAATTCACTTAACAGCCGTGTAAATTCTGGCCCCATTTGTGGCCATAAATTGAGGACTACCTGAGCATCCAAACAATCAGCATGGTTCATGGGAAAGCCCATTGGCTGGCTTTACACATTATGCCAAATTTAACCTGATTTATTTGGTTTTGACTCTTTGCAGTTTAGAGATCCATGAATTGTACTTTGCAAATCATAGTATATTCAGTTGCCTATTCCATTATTTACAGATCTCTGGACAGTTTATGGTTTAGGACTGTATCTACACAAATATAAGAGCACTAAACTGAAGGGACTTTGGGACCACTTAAAGGGAGCTGCTTGTTACTTTGACCACATTTTAACATACAGTACTTATCTCAATATGATAGTAAAACAAGTCATGCAGAATTCTGCTTACCTGTTCAAAAGAGCTTACTGAAAAACAGTATTTCCTGCTGATTTAGCCACTGGTTGAAAAAATATCATTTGTAAGATTAGAACATTGTTTTGTACCGTATCTGTATGTATATGCTAATGGATACTTAACTGAATCATGAATTAATGAATTAATTCATTTATTAGGATTTGGCAAAAATTCTGAATAATATCTGCTGGATTTTGTACTAAGTTACAAACACAGCACATTTTAGCTTAGTGGGTTGTATATGGTAAATCTAGTCTAGTTGTGACTGTGCTCATGCAAACTTATTAGTTTGCTTAGTTATGGTTAACTGAATAAACCACAATTGATACAATTCACACAACCCACAATGCCAGAAGTGCAAGACTGGAGGTCTCAGAACCACTTTTAGCTATTTAAAAGCTATTTAAGCTTTTACTCTTTTAAGGGCAAATGGCATTTTAATTTAACAACATGTTGTATGAACTCACTCTGTACCTGACAGCAACTGTTGGGCCTCAACTATAGTTTTCTTGTCCTTTGATGCCTTGTATTGTTTTGGTTTGTGTCAGATTGGAAATACTGATTCAACTGAAACGGCTATTGAGTGAATACAAAATGGAGTGACCAATCCAAGACACAGATGTTGAGGAAGTTTGCTTATAGAAAAGGAATAAGGATGGAGCTGCAAAATAAATAAATAAATGAAAATGCAAAAAAGGTTGAGAGAAAGGAGAAGACCAAGAAATTTGTCCTTAGGTAAAGCTGAATGAGATTCTCCAAAAGAGAGAAGGTACCATTATGCTGACATCATCATTAGCTGCAGCTGTCATTGTAGCCAAGCTCCACACTTTCACTTCTCTTCTTTCTCTTGAACAGGTGCTCTCTCTCTCTCTCTGCTTGTCTACCTACCTACCTATGTAATCTATCTAATCTATCTACCTATCTATCATCCATCCATCCATCCATCCATCCATCCATCCATCCATCCATCCATCCATCTATCCTACCTATCTATCTATCTATCTATCTATCTATCTATCTATCTATCTATCTATCTATCTATCCTACCTATCTAACCTATCTAAGACTAGAACTGATTATGTTATCTAGTTAGGGTAATGAAATGTCTGCAAGAAAATAAACAAGCTCAGAGAGCACCAAGGACCCCACATTTATCAAATTTATTTGCTGCTCATCTTGCAGTTCAGGTGACTCTGCTCACGTGCTTCAGGAGCCATTCCTGCCTTTGCCAGGCTTGGACCGTATCAAATCATGGCTCATTGAATAAAAGGCTGCTTTTGCCTAGCTTGATACATGTTAGTGTGTCTGGGTTCACTTTATTTATTAAACCAAAAACAAAAGAAGTACACAGTGATTTAGTTTATATAAAAAGTAATGACGTGCTTTATTCAAGGCCAAGTAATTGAATGAGCAACTGCTGAATTTACACAAAGTTTGAAGCTGAAAACTTGGCTTACAAGGCATAGTGGCTAGGTTTACACCTAGCCACTATTCTCCAAACCAAGAGAATACAGTATAGTTTAGCATACATTTAGCATGCTCATATTTTCGGTTCCGGGCAAACCGGTTGTTACAATCGGCGGCAGCCCACCACTGGATAGATGGATGGATGGATAGATAGATAGATAAGATAGAACAGAGTTAGAAGGGATCTTGGAGATCTTCTACTCCAGCCTCCTGGTCAAACAAGACATCTTATACCATTTCAGACAAATGGTTGTCCAATCTCTTCTTAAAAATCTCTGGTGTTGGAGCACCCAGAGTGGGGGGTGGGGAGAGAAACGATGGACAGCTCTCCTGGCAAGGTAGGGAATTTCTGAAGGTAGGGAGTATAAATTTGCTGATGGAGATCCATTTCAATTGATGGCAAGTGGTTCTCACTACTTTCAAATACCATTTTGTCTGACAGGTGCATCAGATTGTGACCTTGGATATACATGTCAACACAGGAGGTGGAGATGGCCTGATGACCATTCCAGCTTCCTTGAGTCCAGGCAAACATGGGAAAGCTGCCTGTTGCCAAGGCCCTGAATTTTGATCACATGACCATAGGGATGCTGCAATAGTCATAAGTGTGAAAAATGGTCATAAGTCATTTTCTTCCAGTGCTGTTATAACTTTGAACAGTTACTAAATGAATGGTTGCAAGTTAAGGACTACCTGTATTGAAGATATTTAAATTAAATTAATTAAATTATCTGGATCAATAACTATAGTACCACAAGGAACACAATTAATTGAAACATTTTATTGTTTCTAATATACAGCCAGTATCCAAAATAATAAAGATTAAAAACAAGGGATGAAATTCTCTTAGATAGTCCTAAAAAATTTTTTTTTATACCTTAAGTTTTTTATTTCTAGTGACTGCCTGAACTGGTCTCGGCAGTTTTCTTGGCAATATTGTTTCAGAAATGGTCTGCCCTTGCCTCTTTCATAGGACTGAGAGAAAAGAACTGGTCCAAGATCATCCAGCTGGCTTTGTGCCCAAAGGCAAGTCCAGAACTGAGTCTTTTGGTTGCTAGTCTGAAGTCTTCACCACTAGCCAAATTGGCTGTATCTCATATTCATAAACACGGTGTGTGTGTATACTATACTAATACAGTAAGGTGTCAGAATTACTGACTTTTTGTCTTTGCTATACAAGTAGTCCTTGACTTACGACCACAATGGAGTCCAAGATTTCTGTTGCTAAGTGAGACATTTGTTAAGTGAGTTTTGCCCCATTTTATGATTTTTCTTGCCACAGTTGTTAAACACATTACTGTAGCTGTTAAGTTAGTAACGTGGTTGTTAAATGAATCTGGCTTCCCCACTGACTTTGTCAGAAGGTTGCAAATCCTGGGAACGGCAACTGTCATAAGTATGAACCAGTTGCCAAACATCTGAATTTTGATCACATGACCCTGGGGATCTTGCAACAGTCATGAGTGAAAAATGGTCATAGGCCACTTTTTTCAGTGCCGTTGTAACTTTAAATGGTCATTAAATGAACTGTTGTAAATTGAGGATTACCTGTACAGTCCTCAGTATGGCAACTATCCTGAAACTACACTTTTCTCAACAATACTTTCTGACTTTACCACTAGGTGGCAACAACACAGTATTTGCATATTCATTTTACATTAGAGAGCCTTCACAAATTTTTATTTTCTGAATTTCCTCATAATAGTAGTATACCAGATTTGTTTTATCATTGCTTGTTCTACTTTCAGGTTTACGTTTAGAAAATATTAGAGAGAAGGAAGTGTAGCACAATTAATTGTGGTCAAGTTTCGAGATGAAGTAGCGTTGGTCTTTCTTAATGCTTATATTTTTTTTCCCTGGAGATACTGATCTTTACATATTCATATTATTATTTTATAAAAAATGTGGAAATAAAATTTTAAGGCAACATCCAATTGGGCATGGTATTGGCTGGGTGGAGGGCACAATGACAACATGAACATGAATGGCTGATTTTTGTATGTATATCTGATATCCCAAGGCAAGTGAGCATTTTATGTAATTGTGGCATTTGTCCTAATCATACCTGTCTTCATTGGTTTGCTTGTAGCAGGTTTTGTAATAACATTAAAGCACATAACACCCTCTGTTATTGCATTTACATTTAACACAAGTGTATAATTTGGATTGTCTTATTTGAGAACTAAAATGTCTTGGGCCAACTGGACAACAGGAGTGAGTGTATAATTCAACAATCAGTTATTCCCAGGTTAGGAAGAACTGTTATGTCAACTGCTGCTGCCCAAGACTAACAAAAGAAGGGCCAAATAACTATTGTCTCAACGGTGGGGGGTGGGGGTGAGGGTGGAGAATAGAATTTATGTTTATTCTTCTCTGTTCACTGCCAGCTTCTGACAAGAAAGTCAATGGGGAAGCGGTCAGGAAGTCGAAAATGGCAATCACATGTTCACAGGATACTGTGACTGCACAGGATTCCCTTGATGATGGCAACTGGGACTGTCACGATTGTTATTGTAAACTGGTGTAGTCATATGGCATCATGCTTTATAACCACATCAGGGATGAAGTTGCTGCCCCAATTATTGTTGTTAAGTGAGGACTATCTGCATACATACCCAATTTAAATCAGCATCCTATTGTTTGTGGCCCTTTCTTCTCTCCTCAAATTTGTGCATTTCCTATAACGAAAAAATGAATAAAGGTGCAAACATCATATAGATTAAATTGGAAAAAAGCTCTTTCTTGAATACTTCACTCATAATTTCATTTCTACAAATCAACATCGTACAAAAGGAGTCATAAGGATTTAATAATAATAATAATAATAATAATAATAATAATGCCAATGCTGACCCTTGCCCTCTCCCATACGTATGTGTTCACAAGGAAAACCTTTCCAAGAAAGTATTTACAACTTTACAACTTTTGAGCATATCTTGGATCAGCCCTTATAAATAGCATTTACATATTAAAATAAATATTTTCACATTGCCAAAATAGCGTAAGCCGTTTTCTTCATTATTTAAAAAATATGTTACAAAACAATATCATTAATTTTATATTTCTTGCTTATTTCTTTTAAAAGTCAAGTAATAAAATCATTTCATAAAACAATACAAAAGTAAATTGAATACACGGTAGATCCATTTGTAGCCGCTGTGCTTTGTTTGTACAGTATCTTACATGGTGAGCTGCTGGCTCCAGGAAGTCCTTGTGGTCATATCTTCCCTTCTGATAGGAGAATAATTCAGTGCTCCCACCTATCCCCAAAGTCACTCTATGGCCTAGAAATGCCTTGGAAATGATAAAATGCATGAGGGCCCTTATGGGTTCTTGAAGCTGGAGTTTCTAGGCACCCGTTACTTCCTGTAGATTGTCCTTGTGAACAGAGGTACTGCTTGGCAGTAATGTAGAGGTAATGCTTCATTTAAGTGGGTAGATGAGATTCTGTCCATATGATCCTGATAGGCTAATTGTGCAAGAGCTATGTGCGTTAGTTTGGCTACTTGTCTCTGTAGATGTTTACGTGCTGTACGTGAGCAAAGAAGGCAGAAAGTTTGGGTGTCTAAAGAGTCAAGCCGTTGTCGTTAAGAGAATACACTTCTAGCTAGCACTGCTCAGCATCCCTAGAAGTTTACTGGGCTCCAATCCTTGCTGCTGTGCCATCTTCTGCACATCAAAACCCATATGCATGAGAAATTGGATCACATTCATCTCCTGGCCGGTGTATTGGTCCCGGATGGTAGGGCATGATGGGTTACAATGTGGCCATGGGCAGCTGTCAATCAGATGGACCGGGCAGCCTTTTAACGGGGCTTTCCCATTCTTATTGCTGTCATGTAGACTGCGATCCCAGCAGTGCAGAGCTCGGGGCAAAGAGGTCCCTTTCACTTGGATATCTGTCCAATGACTGAAAAAGCAACCCATATAGATGAAAGCGTGTGACAATTTGCATGTTTCTTACAGGTGACTAATCATAGGATAGGCATAACTCAAGAGAACCTGCTGACACTTTCGCTTCTGAACACTCATGGGGTCATATGAGGTAGCAACAAAAGAAAAGAGCTGCCAAGATTTGATCTATCTGAAACATACTGGACAATGTATGAGAATCAAAATAATACAGAATCAATTTACACAGGTTACTAGAAGTTCCAAAAGATGGATGATCTGCTTTGCATATTTATATTATTTATATGCTCAAAATATAGTTTTCTAACATTCTAGAAAGTCAGCAGTATTCCAGAGGAGGAAAGGCAGAATTTCAATTTCTGGATTTTACTTTTTGCTCTCTTTTCCCAAGACAGCTCAAGATCCACTGACATTTATTGTAAAACAGTTACTCAGGGTAGACATCTAATTGCAGAATGCAAAAAAAATGGGAGCTTCTGAAACCAGTCATTTATTCTCAGTATCCAAACTAAATTTAGTCTTTTCAGAGAAAAAGATCAATCCTGTCCACCTCATTTCTTTTTCTTTTTAGTCACCTGATTAAAAGGTGTGGGGTAATTTATGTCACCTCTGCTAATCATAATGCTTATAAATGTAAATTACCCAGAAATCTACAAACATATTGTAGATTTCAATTTATTTTCTGCTCACTGCTGATTCAGCCAGTCTTTCTTAATAATTAGTGAATGTCTTTCATTTGATAGAGAAGGTGAGAAAACAGGAAGGTGCACCTTTCCACTCTACATACTTACTTGCGTGTTATGATCTCATGAGACAAACAAGCTGGAGCAAAGCTGGCGCTGAATGAGAAGGGGGAAAAGTCATAAAATCAATGTGATAGAAAAAGAAACATTTTGGAATGTCTTTGGTAACAACTTTTGAGTTTTTTCATAGTAGAATTTAGGCATCTTGCTGCAATAAAGATACCTATATAAGTTGCTAGGTGCAGAAAGGTTAGATCTCAGACCTGAATTGCTTTGAAGCACTATTCTTAACATACCATACAGAAGCTAAGTCACCACAGATTTAATTTCATTATCTCTTGTGACTGGGTATTGTGGATACTTCTGTCATGAGAAAGCAACTGAGTCATATGACAGCAATATAAAGCCACTGTCCTTGTCTTAATTTTAATTTTAGAGTAAAAGGCCTGAGATGCACTGCTGACTCCCACTAACAGCAATACAAACAAAAAAAATTTAAACATACAAATCTAGTGTTTAATAATGTGACATATCATGGAAAGATTTTAAGATAAAATTCTTAGATCCCAGGAAAGGAAATTTCCTTAAATGGAAATTTAAAAACATGAAACAAAACTAACGTCACATCCTTGAGAGTATTCCTCAATTCACGGCCCAGATTTTGGATATAAAGCCATTGTCCTTCCTGTACAGGCTGGCCAGTCAAATGTACATTGTCCACAGTGAGTTGAGCTTCATCAAACAACCACTGCACCACAAAAACAGGACCTACACAAAGAAGAATTTAGTACCAATAGCATCACTAATAGGGCTATAAACTTACTGGCTTAAGTGATAAACTAAGTAAGCAAGAATGGATTAGATTTCTTAGTATGTGGAAATTTTAGAAAGAGAGACAAAAAATTAAGGACGAACGTTGGTATATCCTGTTATGCCATGTAACATTTTCTTGTGCATTTACTGTTAATTTTTTTTTTATCTAATCACATGGTAGCAGGGGTGAAATCCAGCAGGTTCTGGAGAACCGGTAGCGGAAATTTTGAACAGTTCAGAGAACCGGCAAATACTACCTCTGGCTGGCCCCAGAGTGGGGTGGGAATGGAGACTTTGCAATATCCTTCCCCCAGGAGTGGGGAGGGAAAAGTTATTTTGCAGTATCCTTCCCCTGGAGTGGGGTGGGAATGGAGATTTTGCAGTATCCTTCCCGTCACACTCACCAAGCCACACCCACAGAACCCAGTAGTAAAAAAAATTGGATTTCACCATTGCATGGTAGTCTTTATTTGCTAAATTGTAGATGTTTCTTGCAAATTATTCTACACTTTCTTCAATAATTAAAACAGTCTCGCATCCCCCAAACACATCCTATTTATTCATATTACTTTAATACTTCAATATATTTATTTATATTCAACAAATCAATTAGAAGTGTAAATATCACATAATTAGCTAAATCAAAACATTTACCTGGCTGACAATACTAGCAAGGCTTAATAATAACCACTTAGTATTAATTATTCAGATAAGGAGAGTTTATCTGAAATGCATTTCAGATATCGTTCAGCAACAGGCCTTTGCTGGCACACTTACATCGGAGAGTAGGATAAATTTTATAGCCAAAGAAACAATTCCATTCTTCTCCTTCTCTAAACTGCATTTTGCAGCGTTCAGGAACAAGTCCATGCCAATATCTGAGAGTTTTAAAAAAAATAGCTGGAGTTAATTATTTAAATTCATTCTACTAGAAATAGTTAACTATGCAGTATAGAATATCTGGGATTGAGAGGCAAGAGTATGTAAATCGTGAAGGGTCCTTGGTGCTCTCTGAGCTTGTTTGTTTTCTTGTTACCTAGTTTCATTACCCAAACTAGGTAACATTATCAGTGCTAGTGCTAGTCCTAGCACTGATGATATTACCTAGTTTCAGTAATGAAACGTCTGCAAGAAAACATGTCAATCCTGAGCTACAAATGTTCTCCTTTATTAGTATATAAATTCCAAAACCAGTGGACAGTAGAGGGCAGACAAACCACACATTGAAAATGTATATATATTTAAAAAGTTAAAGGGTGAAGTTTTCCCCTGTTTTGCTGAGTCTGACTCTTAAGGGGCGGTGTTCATCTCTGTTTCCTAGCAGAGGGAGGCAGCAACATCTAGAGGTTGGTTTCTGTGGTCATTTCACCAGCATGACTATACATTGAAGACACATGGAATCAGGAGTGGGTTTCACATATTGTTGCCACTGGTTCGCCACGTGTGCGCTCGCTTCACTCACGCACACACTCAGCCTTCTGCACACTCGCTGCACGCACACACACCTTCCACACATGCACCCGGCCTTCCGCGCATGCGCTACATAGGATGGCATTACGTCCGGGCAGATGCAGGCCCACCTGCAGTCGCCGCTACCAATTCACCCAAATTGGTCTAAACCGGCTGAATACCACCTTTGCACGGAATGCTGTTACCTTCCCACCAAAGTGGTAGCTATTAATCTGCTCACATTTGCATGCTTTCGAACTGTTAGGATGGCAGGAGCTGGGGTGACAAAAGGAGCTCACCCCATCATGTGGTGCTTGCTGGAATAAATACACCTTCTGTTTCTCTGTCTATTGATAGATTACTAGAATATCTACTATGTACTTTCTACACAGTCACATTTCATGAATATTACTTAGCAATCTCTGAAGACTAGCTCATGTTAACTATCAGGGGAAAGTCTCACTGGATGTCTCACTCCAGTTTTAGATTTCCAGGAAAGATGTTAAAAACTTCAATACCTAATTCCTCTCCTGATGGCTTCTGTGGGGGCGCAGGTTATGGTATCAATGCAGTCTGTCCTACGATATTGTTTATTATCCAAGAACCAGCCAGAGTCTGCAAGGCCACGGACCTGAATCCCAGGATATCCCAGTTCTTCCAGCTGTTCAGCCACTCGATCCACATTCAAGAGGACTCCTGTTCCACCAGCACTGCAATGACAAGTCAAGTCTTTGAAGCAGAACTTCTTCATATTGTTGCCTGAAGAACCATGGCTTGTAGGGAAGGTCTACACATCGCATCAATTAATGTTAATGAAATACCAAGTTTAATTGCTTACTCATTTGTTCATTCCTTGGGCCATTTACAATGCATTAAAAACTACACGAATTCAGAATAAATTTAAAATGCAATAATTAAAATACATCAGATAAACAAAGAGAAGTCAGAATAATTAGCAAGTTTCTAAGCAGCATATCTGTTAAAGAATTGATTAAGCAATAGTTTTAACTGGAGAAAATGAAAATGCCTTTGGTTCTGAAAAGACAACTGAGTGTACTTTACTGAGAAGGCATTCCAGAATGGATACTGAAATAGCCCATTCCTGGAAGCAACTCACTGCACTGCTGCATAAGAATGATGTCACAATATCGTACAAATAACTGATAGAAATTGCTATCATTTGTATGGTGACACAAGATCTGTGAGCTCATCATGGCTTCCATTGAATGCTTATCATGGGAGGGCATTTGTGGAATGGCTTGAAAAATGATTTTATCATACAAAAAAAAACGTAAGGGAATAGATTTTGTAGGTTGATTCCAGCACCTTAAAATTAAGTGGACAATTGTCAAGGCAGGTTTTGAAGATTGTGCTCCACCTGTGAAACACCCTACCCCCATGATGACAAACCTATGGCACGCAGAGCCCTCTCTGTGGGCACGCGTGCCATCGCCAGCTGCTCTTCTGGTTTCCAGAGTGCGCAGGCCAGCTGGTCTTCGCACGTGCCGGAAACACGGGAGCCCTGGGAGTTTCCAGGCCTCCGGTGTGCGTGAAGACCAGTTGGCACACACACACACATGCATACACACCAGTTTGGGCACTTAGTGCCGAAAAGGTTCACCATCACTGCCCTACCCCAAAAATCTCTCCTGGAGCTGATTGATATCATGTTCGGACAAAAAAAACCCCTATTTTGTTTAAGTGGGCATTTCAACAAGTACTGTTAGTCATCGTGGTTATTTATAGGTATCAGTTGCATCTCTTACTTTAAAATGTTGCTTCTATTATTTCTTTTTCTATATTTACTTTTGAAATGTTTTAATAATATCCTTTTCCAACTCACACAAGCATACATTTACTAGATGTGTTTTCATGAACAGACATATACCTGCTTCCTGCCAACAGCAACACCTTGGCATTTACAAGGCCTTTCCCCAATAATTCCTTTACAACTTCTTGTATGATGAGAGCACCCATGAAGACAAATTCATCTGTAGGAGGAGAAGGAAGGGGAGATGAAAAACAATCATAGTAAGTAAAACTGGCTAACATTTTTTGCCATTCCTATTGAAGGTATGGAGTAATGAATATTGAAAAGTATACTTTTCGTACCATAAGTTTCCAATGAATGTTCAGTGGAAAAATAAACCTAGCAAATATTGCAAATCAGTTAGCAAGCTTCAGATCTAAATTCTTTAATTTCTTCATTGAATGTGACAAATGGAACATTCTTTCCCTTTCATGTTCTTTAATGTTTAGGACTAGTTTTCTGAACATTTATTTGACCTCTCAAGTATATGTTTGATAAGCTAAGCAAAGAAAGAACAAAATTCTGGGAAAAGCTTCTTTAAAAAATAGCAGTGAGATGGACCTCTATCCAGAACAGGGAATCTGAATTTGGTATATCTCTCTCCTGTTTCAGAAAAGCAGAATTTGTAGCCCTTCAAATATTGCTGGACTTCAACTCTCAGCACCTCTCCTCTTGGCCATGATAGCTTCAATAGCTGGGAGCTGACGTTCAGCAGATCCAGAAGCTACAAATTCCCCATCCAAACACTGGAAGAACAGAGAACAGAAAGAAGTAGTGAGAAGGTCCTGTTGAGAAAGATTGTAGCATGCTTTGGCAATTGCCAGCCTCTGCTTCAACTTAATCTGCATCCAACTGCAGGAGATTTCTAATTTTTTCCCAGCTGCTAAAATACCTAGCACACGATCACTGCTAACTGAGACCAAATGTTACCATTGGAAACTGGGACTGGATTCATATCTCAAACTATGATTTAGCAAAACCCAACAACAACAACCTGGTCTTCCATGCTGTGTAAAGTCTTAACAAACCACAGTGGCTAGATTCACAAATAACTCTAGGCCAGGATCAAACCAGCCAAATTATGACTTGCTGCAACATGTGAGCCAGGCTAATGTACTTTACATCTTTTCTACCTTAAAAAATAAAACTAGTAGACCGAAGAAGAGAAATTAAAGTTTCAATCAATTTCAGATGATGACCTTCCATCAACATAAAGGATATTGTAGAAAATAAAATAGAACTATATGTAAAGAAATTGTTCTTGAGGTGACATTAGCAAAGAAATAAAGACAGTCAGGAATGGCTGTAAATGCTTGGGGAGGGTGTCTTTTCATTTTTTGCATGAAAAACAACAGAGGGGCTTATGGTACCATACGTCAGTCTGCATTTAAGGCAACACTGAAGATGTCAGAAGTTCCTTAGTGGTTTTCCATACAAAAGGAAAACTGGGAAGATGGTCAATCGCAGTTCTCTTGCACAATGTGTGGAGTCCATGATCATAAAGTATTTGGTCAGCGTGGTGCTCTCTCAAGAACAACTACCTGGGAAAATTACAAAAATAAGGGTGCAAGAATGGGAACAATATTCCTAATGAAATGTGAGGCAAACTCTTCCTTAAGGGAATACAGATAAGGCAGTTAAATTTGTTCATCCTCTCAATATTGGTGATCAGAAAATTTCCTCTATTACTGTCCCTGAGATCAAGCCAATTCAAAAAAATGTAACTGACTGAAATAAAGATATTGGTTTTTTTTCCCTATACAGCTTTTCCTTTTAGGTTAGAAATCTTTTATTTAATTAGACATGAATCTTGCCAGATAGGATTGTGAAAACTAATATTCTTCATACAAGATCAATAGTAGTGATATCCGGGAATCTGGGGTGCCAGCTACTGACACCAAATGGAAGATAGGCATCCTGAGGAGAATATAAAATTTTGGAAAGGTAAATACAAAAGGTCCATGTTTTATCTATTGAGTTAGTTATGTTAAAAAATCCCAGCTGCCCGAAACTCTTCTTTAGTCAGTCAAGAGAGCAAATATTTCTTTGTCACTTATGTCAACATCTTCCAGGCGGATGTTTCTGGCCACACAGTGCCATATATGTGATAGATCTAGATGATGATGGCCCTCAAGCGCATGCACAGATATTAGAACTTTCTCGATTCCATTTGGAAGTCCTGGCACAATTTCATTTTTCCTTATTTCAAGTTTAGCTAAATGAAACAGTTGCTCAGACCCTTGAGATGCAACCATTTCCCTCAGGCTGTTGCTCGGTTACTCCCATGTGGGGTTCTGAACCGTGACAAAGCAGGGCTTGCAAGCGGATGCATTATCTAGAGGATATTTATTATTTCTTCCTGCCCGCTGGCGAGAATCCTTTCTTCCTTTGCACAACTGTGGAGAATTCAGGCCAGATTCCCTTAATGCATAATGCCTGTTTGGCAGCAAGAGCCTGTCAGAAGCACTCACTTTTCTCAGTTTTGGCAGAGGCTCCACTCCAGACATCACTTGAGCAATATGGGATGAAACTGCAAGAGAACAGATGTCCTTGAGCACCAATATTCTTTTGATATGCATGGAGGGGTAAGACAAGAGTAAAAGTCCAGCAAATTAAACCCTAAGAGCGATAAGAGAAAATCGTTTAAACTCGGCTCACTCAGATCTGATGGTACCAGCATTTTATACAACTGATATCCCAGGGCATGAAGCATCAAAGAAAAATAAAATAAAATAAAAATTCTTCTAACACTCGGAGCTAAATGCCAGGGAGCTACAATTGGTCAAAATTTAGTGCATTTCCAATACATGTTTAATAATAGAAGCTTTATTCTTATTTTTATGGCAAGCATGGAAAATGTCCAGTAATTTTAAAGCTCTCATAGATCTGCACGGCAAATGCCACTGTTCTGATTTTCTATTTCTACTTTCCCCTGTATTGTGCTCCATTGAAGCTATCAACAACATCTTAGTTGATAACTACATATTAATTAGTCTAGATGTTTTTTGAATTAGAAATTACTCTTGAATGTCCCTGCTGTCTAAAAACAATGCTATGCAAGGAAAAAAAATATCCCAATGAATAGAACAGCCATTCTAATTCTAATCAGCCATTCTAACAGCATTTAAGTACGTACAGACATTAGCTCCCAAGTGGGCTTTCAGATTAACAGCTATCTTCTGGTATTTGCTTTTATTCCCTGAGTCTGCTATCCAATCATCCTAGCCAGAAGTTGTATTTTACATGGGACTGTTTCCTTTTTAAAAAGGTTCGTGTGAATTTATTTGCTGGAGAAACTCTGTGTATTTTTTGGCAAGAACTAACACAATTTGATGGCACATAATCAAAATACATTTGTTGGATCAGTTATTACTATTATAGAAAATATCTAAGAATACAGTTCATCAGAGGAGTGCAGACAGAGAATGAAATCCATCCTCACTGGCTTCTCTATTATGGCCAAGCAATTCTGCATTAAAGACCTAGCAGTGGTACTTCCAATACAGCCCTACAGTAAGGGAGGAGTACAAATGCCTCAGGCTAATATTGCTTTTTCCTTCCAGCCTACCCACCTACATTACTTCGGCCTTGCTGGCATGAATCAGGTAGAACTTCAGATCTGACCATCAGGATTTTCCCTCCCCATTGTCTTTGGATTGTTCTTGAAGACTTTCTTAATGTACTAACAATCCATTCTGTTTCGTAGTTATTCTCATTTATTTTCATTTGTAATTTCTACTCGTGCTTTCTTTATAGGATCATTACAACTTGCAAACTCTGGTCCTTTGTTTTTTCATATGCAGGCTAAGTTCTCCTTTTCCCTAGTTTACTAGTCTTCTATCTTGTTTATTTTTGCTTGACTATTCCATTCAACTCCTATAGCTGTTTATTCTACTTACACCATATTTGCATTCCACCAGTGAGGATTTTCTTCTGGTTGTGATGACAAAATGCCTGTTCCTGAAGATGGAGAAAAATAATATACATACTAACACATAGAGAAAAATATCCTTCACACAAAGAACAAAAAACATTTAGCATTAATTCAATGACAGATGGTAAAAAACAGCAACATTGTTAGGTTCATATGCCAGAGCATCTGAAAGGATGCAATATTCATAATAAAAATCTTTCAGACTAAGATAGGAAAATATTAGATTTAATACTTCATTTTTGTACTTCATGTATACAAAAATAGAACCTGTATCACTAATGTTTGAAATATTTCTTCTTTTTGGTCTAAACAGATAAGCTTACATAGTGGAAAACCTAAACACGTACATATACTTAAATGTAAATTCAGTATGTTCATGGACTCTTATTCTCAGATATGTTTTGGATGGACTACAGACTCTTAAAGTTTTAGAAGTGAAGAACACAGACTCATCTAAGCAACAGAACAAAGGAAAATTACAGCATTCTGAGTACTTTGACCATAACTGATTATTAAGCTAGGCATTAAGTTGCTAACACTGGGAAGAAGTATTGGTGAGTCAGCAAAAGTTAACCAATTTCCATTTCTGAACCAGGGCTTTGTTCTATGATAACTAAACATGCCATATAAGGACAGCCAATGATCTCTTAGCATTCTTGGGGATCTGCCCACAAAGAAGTGCCTTCTCCAACTTCCATGAACATCAATGTAGGTACTGGAGCCATAGAGGCTGTGCAGTCCTGAAGAGATCTGTAGTAAAATCTATTTATTAGGCCTGTCTGCATACCTTAAAAGGCATCTCTCTTTTTTAAACATTTCTTTACAAATCCCTATAATTAATGAAAGAGGAAAAAGAGAGTATTAATGCTGTCCACTTTGCTGAAAATACAAACATAGAAATGTTTACTATGTGGTGGGCTATCTTCCCTCTAAGAGTCAATGTCATTACAAAATCAACATATGCACTACGCTGAAACTTTTTAAAGTAACTTTTTGTTTTATTAATATCATCTGGGCAGATACAGATTTCAGCCAAAGAAAATAATTTCGTTTTTCCAAATTGTCCTCCAGATCCTCAGATAATATGTCCAGTGCAGGCTGAGAATAAGGTGAGCTTTGTGGTATCCCAACATCTTTACTCAGCACCAAGTAGGGAAAATGATGCAAATAATGAACTTTTCTTAATTCCTAGGTATAGGTATACCTCATTTTTATGCCACTTTTCTATCTAGATCAGTGGTTCCCAACGTGGGGCCCATGCCCCACAGGGGGGGGGGGCAATTTGATTTTTAATGGGGGCAATTGCAACCTTGTTTAAACCAAGTTAATGGCATTTTAGGCTTCCTCCACATGAGCAGGAGTCACTTTTTGAATAGTAAGAATTATATGTCACGGGGATCAGGATTTTAGAGATGCTTAGGGAGCATGGCCAAAAAAAGGTTGGGAACCATTGATCTAGATGCTCTCAAAACATATATAGGAATACAGTAAGAGAACATGGTTGTGTAATCTAAGATTGGCATTTCTATTCCACACCATTCCTGACAGGAAATCATAGATTTAAGTTATGGAGGGGGGCACGTTCTGATTGAAAAAAATAACAGTGGAACCAATTACAATTGTCAATGGAACCAATTAATGAGAGGTGGGCTTCCTTTTATAACATGAGTTCCTACTAGCCATCTGTCAACAATATATCAGTTTGAATTACTACTCTAAACAGAGATTTAATGACTGCAATGGCCTTTTCCAGCTGTAGGATTCTACTCAAATATTTCCTGTTCTCTTAAATTTATAGAAGAAGATCTGCTTTGCAGAGAATGAAAAGGAGATTTTGCATTGGAGGCCTCTTTCTATTAAAATTCAAAATAATTACATGCATTATTTTGATTCTGGTATGTTACCTGTTTTTTTAAAAAAACCTCTGCGTAAATGCTAAGTGAATAAACCAAACATTATTTATTCCACATAAATAATAGAATATTACTAAAGATAAGTATATATATGTATTCATAATTATGCAGTTATATAGACAGCAGAAACAATATATAATTCGCAATGTAAATCTCAGACTAATTAGAACAAAACATTTACCAGTTCTGGTAATGGGCCACTCCTTGGAGCTCATTAATCTCCTCATTGTTTCATAACGAGAATTGCAGTTCTCTCTGCTGAAGCAATACCAGCCTCCTGCATCCAATAACAATAATAATGATGATGATATCTCAGTAATTTTTTCCTGTATCACTAATTCACATCATTTTAAGCTGTGATTTATGAAATAGACACTTGGTGGAATTAAATTAGTCATAAAATTGTTTTATAACGAAGTAGATATTATTTTTCCTATACAAATTTATGGATCAGATAGATATATTTTAAAAGCTAAATAGAATCCCACATAAAGTAATCATAGAATCTAATTTGATTGAGACCTTAAACTTGTCAAATTATGCAAACCTCCATATGAAAATATATATTGAATAGGACAGGACTACATTGTAGTCTACAGTTTTTGCCATCTTTTTAACATCATCTGTAAAAGTAATGAGCAACCCATTGATTTCATTAGCAGATTGCTATCTTTTTCATAATATAGTATGTTCTGTCTTGAATTTCTTCTTTACAAATCATGTTTTCATTCCGCTTTCAAAGTACGTTTCAAAGAATTAATCTCTGTGCTATTGGTTTTTTTTTCATATTACACCCTAATTCCCTTACCTGGAAATGACCCAAGTGAAATAGGATTGCTTTATTATTTTCTGACTGAGCAGTCAAATGCCAATAAAGATAGTTCTACTCTTTACAGGGCACACAACAGGCATATTCCTTAGGATAGGATCTATGGATGTAAATCCGATTAGTTTCAATAGGATTTACTTCCAGGTCATAACCATGAAAACTTGACTCTGCCTTTAGTCCGTGTGTAATATATATATTACATACAAACACGTTTTTCCTTATTAGATTAAATTGTATGCATTGAGGGTTGAGATGAAAAACTGAAGGCTTCCTATGTAGAAAATTTAGGATTTCTGACAAGATTCTTGAAATTAGAATAGAACTACTTGACATCTCTAGTTTACAGTATCATCTCTTATTTATCTGAATAGCAAATGGAAAAAAATCGCAATAGTAATTCTTAGGCAAAAGTTGATCATTTCTTCCATAGTAGCATAATGTTGTTGTCCTAATTGTTTTTATCTGAAACAAAATTTTATTTTGAACTTAGTGGGATTTACTTCCAAACAGATGGTTTAAGGTACTTTTCCAAAAGGAACTGGAGTTTCTTTTTTTTCCCTTTGAAAATGTTTTGCTTCTCATCTAAATTTCTTTAGTTTTGATTGGTGGGGAATGGAAGGATTTATAATCTTTGCAGTCATCTAATCTTTTAGCAGTCTGAAGGTTGGTTGTTAGCGTCTCTGAGATTTGTTGAGGCCATTTGAGGGTTTATCTATATCCTCAGATTCACCTGAATCAGTGTGCAAATGGGTGTGGAACCTTCTTGGGACTGCTAAAAGGACTGTGTTGTAAACAGAAGATAGGTGGTGTCCTATCCCTCCCCCTCTATTAAGAGAGGGATGTTCAATTTTAATATAGATAGCCCCTTTGATCCCTCTTTCAAACCAGTGGTCCTTTCTGTCCAGAATGTGGACTTTGCTGTCTTCAAAGAGTGATCTTTGTCTTTCAGATGCAGATGGGCTTCTTAATCCTGTCCTGATGGGTTTGTTCTCCTGTGTTGTGCTATGTGTTTGTGAAATGTTTCTTTTGTTTCCTTAATGTACAGATCTGCACATGTCTCGCTGCAATCCCCTTCATAAATCACATTGCTCAATTTGTGTCTGGATGTTTTATCTTTGGTTCCATCTTTCATTTCCGACCATTCAGTTAGAACTGAAGAAGATTCTTGGATGAGAAGCAAAACGTTTTCGAGAAAAAAAACCAGAAAGTCAATTGCCTTTTGGAAAAGCACCTATGGGACAACCATGACCTGGATGATTGAAAATCTCCACAGACATCAAAATAGAAAAGGTTATGAATTAGAAGAGGGGGTGGGGGGGAAGGAAAAATCATATAAGGTTCCCAATTCACGGGCTTAACTGAATAAATGCAGCAAAATCTAGAAAATACAAGGATGAGATAAAATTAAAGTACAAGCAAACAGAAGAAATGGATTGATTGACTAAGGCAACAAGAGCCTTATGTACCATCGTTTTACTTTCTGGTGCCCTTCAGACATTGTGTTGCTGAGTGGTGATTTAGGAAATTGTACTCAGTGTGTATGAAGTGCACCAGGTTAGAAAACCTAACAGCAAAATTTATTCCTATATGTAGCTTTGATTAGAATTATTGGACTAATTAGACTGTTATAAGTTTGCAAGACATAGAGACATGTGCAGCAATGGCGGTGAAGATGAAAGGATGAAGACATTGGTTGCAAAGAAAGCAAGCAGTACATATTAATATTCCTTGCATCCTTTGAAAAAAGCAGCTGGGATGTTACTTTGTCATCTCTTAAACTTTTTTACCTAAAGAGTATGAAATCATTGAACTTTGCTTTAAAACTCAAAATAAAATTAAAGAAAACTCAATCTCACCTTCCAAGAATAGAAGCCACCTTCTGCTGCCTTTTGATTCTTTGAGGTAGTAGCTAAAATAAAAACAAATAGAAGGCAGCGTGAACTTAATTAGGGAGACTGGCTCACTCGACCACAAACCCTTTGATACACCAACTCATTATAATATCAAGAGAGTTACATAAAATACTTGGTTAAAGAACAAGAGAAAGAAACAGGATGGCTGTCAGAAGAGCTCCAAACAGAGTCTGATCAAAGGACCTTCTCAGGGACTCTGAGCCAGGCTGAGCTGGCTTTCATCTTGCTCCAAACTAAATGCATTAAACAAATTCCTAGCATTCCTAAGTATTTCCAGGCAGGAAAGAGTTATTCCACCTGTTACTGACTGTGCTCTTAGTAACAGCCACATGGTGGAAGCAAAGCTTAAACACTAAGGATGGATTGTTTCAGCACTTTTGAAGTACTAAGTATTAATAGTAAACAGTTCTGTGTGCTCTCTGAAGCATCTCTTCTTGGGGGCTGGAAATGATGCTTTATGAAAAAAGGGAAGAGACTCGCCATACATACAGGCAAAGTCTACAGGCTTGCTTAGAAAATTCACCAAGTTCTGATTCCAGAACTAAACTCGTTCTAAAAAGGCTGAGAATTACATTTTTATTAGAACCCAGAGAAACTTTCCACATCTTTTCAATACATTCTGCAAACTTCTGATCTTTTGCACAAGAGTAAGTTTATCTAATGCAGGTCAGTTATCAATATCTCAGAAATCTAGAAGACAATTTCTTTTTCCTCCCTACTTTGAGGATTTTCGTCTGCCTTCGGTTAAAGATTTGTGAATCAAGGCACCTCCAAGCAGTATCGCTTTGAATTCCAGATACTTCAGGCAAGAAAAAAAAATTATACACGGGAGGATTCAGATCCGCCATCTGGTGCAAAGCTTTACAAATGAAGGTACATGAAGCAAAGCCCGCGAAGAAGCATTCCATGAAAAGTTCTCTATTTTCTACCGGGCATAGGGTCCAGGAAGATGGGCAATTGAATGAAACGGAAAGAGACGAGGCGCAGCGAGTTTGGCATCTTCACTCACCCGGCGGGACTGCCGTCGTTGCAGGTGACCGAGCTGTTCAGAAGCGAGTGAAGCCTCAGCTCCTGGTGCAGATTCTGCGCGGAACAAGGGTACAGCGACTGCGCCAGGCTCTTGATCTGAGCCATGAAACTGTCCATGTTCCCCTCCACAGCGGTAAAGTCCAACGGGAAGCTCTCCACCGGCTGCCCAGCCGCTTCGCTTCGCTCTCGGGTCGCCGCGGCGGGTTGCTGCTGCGGTCCACGCCGCCTCCAGCTCTTCCTGCCTTCTCCGCCAGGACCCCAATGCAGGAGCCCCAAGAACAGCAACATTTGCACCGTCCCTCCACCCATCGCGACGCGGAGCCACCTGCTGAGGAGGAGAGAGGACCGGGTAAGCGCCACCGACTAGCTCCAAGGAGGCAGAGCTGGGACTAGGGCTCGGTCGTCTGGCCTCGGGCGGCGGGATCCTCCTTCTGCCCCTGGTGGCCAAAGGCGCTTGGCGGGCTGGGGGGCTTCGGCCTCTGTGCCTGCTCCGTGCCTTGCCTTGCCTTGCCTTGCCAAGGGTCTGGCAGCAGCGGCCCCGTCTCGCTCGCTCCAATGAGCTGCGAGCAAAGCAGCGTCTGGGCGTAGTTAGAGGCAGCCGGTGCCTGGTGCTCGCGCTGTCCGGGTTCTGCGGCGGGGCTCGAGGGCGCTCGGCTTTTCTTGGCGCACGGACTCGCCGCGTCGTCCCAAACCACAAGCATGACAAGAGGGGCCAGGAGTCACGGGGAGCCCACCGGGGGCGCCGCCAGCCTGGGCGTCGCATGGGGCGGCAGCGGCCAGAGAGCCCCCGCCTCCCCGTCGCTGGAAAAGGAAGAGAAGGGGAGGAGAGGAGTACGAGGGGAGGGGGAGATTTCCCTTTCATGCCCCAGCCAACAGACGTCGCTCTGCCTGCCGTCCTCTTTTCTGTTTTCCCGTCCCGTCTGGCGAGACGCTCAGGGAGGCCAAAGCACCTTCGTAACTTCCCGCCCAAACGCAGGGCGACGTTCCTAGCGGGAAAGCGGTCGCGGCTCTTGACTCAGAGGAAGGGAGGGCGAAGCGGGCGGCACTTTGAATTCCTCCGGTTTCCCGCCGGGACTTGCAGCCTAGCTGGGGGCGAATGCCGGTGAACAGCCGCCTTCCACTCCTTCGCAACCGGAGCTTGGGCTGGAGTGGGGGGGTCGCTTCGGTAAAAGACGAGCCACAGCCTTCGGGGCCTCGGCTATGATCTTCAAGGATCGGCGACTGCAGCCCGCCTCCTCTTGCAGAGACACCCCCCCCCCCACGCGCCTGACCGTCTTGTTCCTTCTCGCCAGTGCTTTGAGTCCCTTCCCCTGCTGCCCCAATGCTGGATGTCCTCAACCATGTAGGCTGGTTTAGTTTATTATAGTTTATTATAAATTTAATAAATAAATAAATAAATAGGCAGCGCCAGGCAGCCTCTTCGGCGCTCGCGTGTGTACAGTATTGGTGAGGAGCAGCGGCGGTTCTCTCGAGCCGAAGTTCTCTTTGGGGAAAAGGCAGGAGGATCTGCGGATGTCCCACTGCCTTCGGTCCTGGCTGCTTTCATAATTTTCTTCCCCACCATCATGATGGTCGTGAGAAACATCAAGGGCAGAACCCTACCCATTCACGTTTCACGATAGTTAGCATTATGGTTTACCATATCCGGGCTGCAGGATTCCCGATGACCCCTAGATGGCAGTAAGGAGCTAGAGAAAACAACTACCACCATCAGCTCTAGCTATCCAGCCTGATGACTTTTGCCAATCAATAAATGAGATGTGAGACAAGACACTCTTTATTAATTTATTCTCAAGACATATCAGGCATATCATGATCCCTAAACTCAGCTGAAGATGTTACCTAGCCTGGTAACAAAACATTCGGAAACCAACCCACAAGCTAAGAGAATAAACCTTCACCCTCGCATATCAAGAGAGATGATAACTAAATATCATCTCCAGACAAGCTGCCTGGGTGGCTGGATCCCCACGGAAGTAGAATCTCTCTTCTAGATAATGTAGAACTCTTATTCTGATTTATTTGGAACTATGGCAAATAATGCCAGCAGCATCAAGAGATCAGTGTTCCTCACCAGTGTCCTAAATTCAAAAGTGGAGCTGTTTGAATACTGGATTTTTATGTATGGCTGAGTTTAGAGAGGTTGGTTGAAACTCTGTAAAGTAGATCTCTGAGTGTTTTTGTCTTATTTCTCAGACTGTAGGCATTGTAATTCATTTAAGTATATGGTTTTAGACTATAATTATTTGATGAAATAATTGATACATTTGCATATTAATAAAAGCAATGTTTTCAAAAGCAGCAGTTTCTTTGCTTTTAGGTAATGCATACTGTAATTGTTTCTTACCAGAGATATTTTGGGGGAAGATACCTTTGTGAAAGAGAAGGATAGCCCCATTTCTAAAATCAGATTTGCACATAACATGAATATATAGTATTAGGTAAGTTTTTATATAAATTCACATACACATTTATATATAAAATCTTATGTAGCATTTATATAGAAGATCTGATCAACTATCCAGAAGTATTGATTATGAATACATTAAAACAACAGATTAATCTGATTAGCAGCTAATGTAGTTCTTCCAATATTTAGTGAACATTTTTAGTAAAAAATGAATAGCAAATTGCTAAGTATACAGGATTCTAAAGATAAATGTAGCCAATAATGTCTTCATATGATGCTTTTAGCAAAACAGTGTATTTGTTGATTTGAGAAAGCATAAAGTTAATGTGAATTATATAATATTTTGTGCTATGGCATTGAAGGGTAGTTGTTGGATGCAATAACTGGTAAATAATGGAAATAAAGCATACACGAGAATAAATGGAATGCTTAGCAAATGGTTCAAAGATGTGTGAACAGGTTGTATATATAGAAGTAAATGTACAAGCAATGTTTAGTGTTACTTGAAGTATTTTAGGAGAAGACATGAATGTATGCATACTTCTCTATGCACATATTTCATTATGCAATAATGTACATTTATGGGTGAATGTGTAAGAAATGCTGGCAATGATATTAGAAATATATTAGGAGAAAACATGAAGGCATATTTCTGTTTACTGACATTGCCATGTTATTGAGAATCAAAATTATTTTCCACATTAGACTGTAAAATGCAATAAAGCATGGATCTGAAAATTATTGATCAAAGACTAAAGTAGTTATATTTTATGTTTTACTAGGAAAAAAATTGCAATTGAGTGAACAATTGCACGATTTATATCAGTTTTGAAAAATTATAGTAAACAGATGAATTTGTATACCCATCAAACTGTAAAAGTAGCAATGATTGACTTACAACCGTTCAGTTATTGATCATTTGAAATTACAACGGCATTGGAAAAAGTGACTTATAACCAGTTTTCACAATTGTTGCAGCATCTCTATTGTCATGTGATCAAACTTCGGACACTTGGCAACTGGCATGTATTTATGACAGTTGCACTGTCCTGGATCACCATTTGACTTCTGACAAGCAAAATCAATGGAAGAAGCATGATTCACTTAACAACTGCAGTGATTTGCCTAATAGTTGCGGCAAAAATGTTATAAAATTGGGCACAACTCAATACCTGCCTTGGTTAGCAACAGAAATTTTGGCCTCAGTTGTGGTTAGGTCAAGGACTATCTGACCTTACAGACTGCCTAATCATAGGACAAACTCTAAATGTGTGAAGTTTTGAGTTTCATTGTATAGTCTAACAGAATTCTATGTTTTTTTCTAAAGTAAACTACTATTAAACTATTGCCAAAGTACCTTCAATTCTGGGAAAGGATAATACAGACTAAAAGTAACAACAATCATATGAGCATCTGTAACTCTGACTAGCAAACAGTGTTAGCTCCCATTATAGCCCAGGAATTGAAACTGACCAATTTGCTGCTGCTGCTAGTCGGCTGAGTATTTAGAAGGCTTCTCTACAGCAGAATTCTAGAAATTTGCTCCACACTCCAATCCAGATTGTCTCATTGCTGGAATTTCCTAGGTTTCAGAAGCTCCTGACAATATCATGACACAGAGACACAGGAGACTTGTGCAGGATTGATGGAGTTCCTGAACTCTGCTGACTTATTGTTTTAGTTCACAGTTGTTTCACAAAAGTCTGTTTTTTCAAATATAATGCCAAATTCTAGTAGTTACTAGCTTTCAGATACTGAAAGCTAGTAACTGAAAGACACTTAAACTATCTGGTCTTTAAAAATCACATTATAAATTATGTTTTTTTCAGTTTGAAAGCTATCACAATAACCAGTTTCTTCATGCTTTATGATCCCAAACAGCTCTCTGATCCTTTTCCAGACATGCCTAAAATGCCCATTTCAATCCTATATCACAAAGCCTTGCCTGAAAAAGTCACTTATCTTTTTTCTGAATAATGTTTATACTGCAGACAACGGAAAGAATCCAAGAATGTTGGTTAAGTGCATCTTTTTGCATTTCTGACCTGTGCAAGATGTAGGACGTAGATGAAGGAAAAATACTTTCCTGAGGCCTGACTAGAGGTCTATTCAACTCTTCTTCCATGTAACATTTTGCTATCTGTCTCATAAAATGATCTTACATAGTAAGCAGATTCTCAAATAATTACTTCAAAGTATGTTGTGCCACCTCAGATTACATATACTGCTCATTTGATCACCTGCTAAATCTCTGGAATCCACATGGCATCTATTCCTAACCATAAGCCTTCTCTGGACCCGGCTGTTTTGGCAAACTACCGTCCGGTCTCCAACCTTCACGTTGTTGCGAAGGTTGTGGAGAGTGTGGTTGCGCGACAGCTCCCACAGTTCCTGGATGAAACCGTCTATCTAGATCCGTGCCAGTCCGGCTTCAGGCCTGGGTACAGCACGGAGATGGCATTGGTCGCATTGGTGGATGATCTCTGGAGGGCTCGGGACAGGGGTTGTTCCTCTGTTCTGGTCCTGTTAGACCTCTCAGCGGCTTTTGATACCATCGACCATGGTATCATGCTGCGCCGGCTGGAGGGATTGGGGGTGGGAGGCACCGTGCTGCAGTGGTTCTCCTCCTATCTCTCTGACCGGTTGCAGTCTGTGTTGGCAGGGGGGCAGAGGTCGACCTCGAGGCACCTTGCTTGTGGGGTGCCGCAAGGGTCGGTCCTCTCGCCGCTCCTGTTCAACATTTATGTGAAACCGCTGTTTTGGGGTGCGATGCCATCTGTACGCTGATGACACTCAGCTGTACATTTCCACCCCAGACCACCCCAATGATGCCCTCAAAGTGATGTCCCAGTGTCTGGAGGCCGTGCGGGTCTGGATGGGGAGGAACAGGCTTCGGCTCAACCCTTCCAAGACCGAGTGGCTGTGGATGCCGGCGTCCCAGTATAGTCAGCTGGTGCCATCGCTGGCTATTGGGGGCAAGT